TGTATAGGCCACATACGCACTCATTACGCCACTACGATTCTGAATGGAAGTCGAGTGCGGGGGCGCATCCCTCAGACGGGATTGATTACCGCCAAAAACTTTATCCTCATCCTTATGAGTAAAGGCATCTTTACCAAGTCCTCATCCTGTTGTGTCAAAGAAAGTGAAAAAAGTGACCAGTGTTCAGATCAAAAGAAAGCTTAGGTCAAGAAGTGAATTTTCGTACCTGTCCAATAAATACCTGGTGGTAGTAGCTTCAATAGAGATCGTGCGATTAACCATCCCTGAAGTGTTGTCCCGTAACTGTGACCAAATCTGTAACAATCTGAGCTGAATTAGCAGATCACCTAATCGAAAAGAAATTCATACGACGCGAAAATCGTTAGTTGTGTTTTAGTGACACCGATGATCGAGAAAGCTACTAAGTCCAGGAATCGACCTTCTGTAGATATTTCCTAATACGGCAGGTACATTTTTGGGAAAGAAAGCTCAAGTTGGAGTAGCAGCATTGCCGAGGAGGGTGTAATCCCGTACAAGTATCCCTAAGCCTGAACTTGAACTCAGTTCAAGTCACTGAATAAGTCAAGCACGATTCAAGCACATCTAAACTACAATTTTAAAAGGAAGTTGATTGGGTGGCGTACCCGAAGATTAGTTAATTCTGACAATTCCATTTTTTTCGTCCCACGAGTCCCCATGTTGGACGTAAAATAGCAAAAAGGTGTTATTTAGTTGGGGCTCTCCTGTCATCGCCACTTTTAAAGCCTAGGGAGCGAAATCCTTTTTCGATATAGTCTGTACACATTCTAAGACATTCATCGGGAAAGGCAAAATTGGTTATTCAATGTGACAGTGGTCATCGATCCCTTTAATTCCGGTACCTCCCTCACAAATGGAGGTGGGCCAAGAGGGTCATAAGTGCTTCCGATGAAGTCCCATGCACCGGTGGGAGCCTAGGTTTGTCCCCTGTTTCCTTTCCAGATTCATAACGACAATGTGTAATATAATCGTTTACACTGAGACCACATAAAAAGCAAGTCTTTCAAAAATAACCGACTTACATGTAATTTCTGCACATCTGATTGGCATCATACCATGATTGATTTCGTGTAAGAAATGGATAAAAACACGACGTGCCAGCTAGTTTCCATCCTGCAATAATGAATTTGTAGACCGAAGTTGATTGTATTCCAAGATCCAATTAAATTACTGTAGTTGTAAGTATTTTTTGGTTGTATACCTTATTCTACGATAGCAACCACGCACTTCTTTTCGCTTTTACGAGTACTCGAGGCTGAGCTTTTCTTTATGCCTTTAAACTCTTCTTTCAATCATATCATTTGATTTCATGATTCTCTAAATAACTTCTGGAAATCCCATCCGGAGAAAAGAAGTAGGTCATATGTAGAATCAACAGTGGCCGCAGCCGTTCGACACTTCGGTCCCGAACAACAGTGGTTGTGCGAGAAAGTGAGTTAGCGTGTACTGGATGTAAACGTTTTTGATGGCAGCAAAAAGTAGTTAAAGAAGTTGTTGCTATCGGTAGGCATTTCGGACGTTTATTTACTAATTTTTTAATTATCGCCTTATCTGTTTACTGATTTAGATGAATACCTTATTGTTCATTCATTCACTCTTTGATTTGCATTACTACTCTCTATTCATTTAATTAATGTCGCTTGATTATTTGATTACCTATTTGTTTATTCGTCTGTTTATTTACTTGTTTATATCAATCTGTTTATCTATTCAATCTGATTCATCTACGCGACTGGTGCAGTTTCGCTACGGTCCATCAGTCTGATACAGAGTAGAACTATGTCGCTGTCATGATTTTTTTTTTCAAGGTTCTTGAGTTAATGAGCCCACCCGATGTACCTTTTTGATTTTCGCATCGTTTGGGTACATAACTAAATAAAAAAAGCATGTGAGCATAATATTTTGAAACTATATATCATTGCAATTCCGCAAGTTAACACTAATAATTGAAAGGCGAAACATCACTAACGGATTGATGCGTGTCAGTAATTATCATAGTGGAAAAATTAGTTCTGCTTACAATTATCACTAAGATTATGCCAAAAACTTTGCGGCTACTCAGAAAGTTGTAACTCGTGGAATGTGAAAGCATGGAGTGTAGGCTACAGCGACACAAGTGGAAGTAGTTGACTGAAATACAGAAGATGAAGAGCTTTCGCACCGATTTTTCCACCACTGAGCGCTGAGCGCAACAGAGGAAGGGTACCCGGCTTCGGGAGCCCTTCCTAGTGGTGCTTAAGAGTGCTTAGGAAAGCTCCTTGACTTGGGCTCTAGGAGGGAAAGAGCACCAGTGGGAATGATTTAATTGAATATTCGCTCCTTCTTCTTCTTCTCAACTTTTAGCACGGGGAAATCGTCTCGTCTGTTCCGATGTCCCTCCCCTCCTGAGGCTCATGTTAAAACTATACTTTTGTTTAGCTAAAACCTTCTCTAGAGACAAGCAAGCTAGATGGTCCTCTTCTGCGCCCTAGTGCTTAGTGTTGGAAAAGGAGGTCGATTTGGGAGGATTACTTCAGTAAATTATATATAAAAAATAATAGAGAATAGTAAGGCCTAGAAAAAATGTATGTATGCAACTGCAATAAAAAAAGAGTAGTTGATAATCAGAGCCGGTAAGATTACGTCGACGGCTTATTCATAACGGAGGACGTGTTTTTTGAGATTGTGAATAATCGAAGGGATCGGTATGGCGATTGAATTCTCCTGTTAGTGGAAATTCATAAGAAATTGGCTCGTCCAGGCACTTCTTCGAAGCGGTTTTCAATTCCCTTTATCAATTGGGCCCTCGAAATTCTTCCAGAGCTACCAGACAATAGTAATGGAGACCGACAACAAAATTTACCTTGTTTTAAATTTCCCTCTTGGTTTATACTTCCTCTTGGGGGGGGGGGGCTCTGTGGGATTTCTACTAATAAGAACAAAACTTGATTGGACTATTGGAAGATCATGAGCTAGCTCATCACAACCTTTGAAAGTGCGAGAAGGTAGTGTATCGCAAAGGCTTCTCCTTACTAAATGAAGATGGGTGGTGACTGACAAAAGAAAATTAAAAATTCGAAGTAGTCGTCTTATTTTTCGTAGTTTTTAAATTTTCGAAATGATTATACCTATCACACATAAAAGAGTGAATTCACCAATGTCATTTTTATTCAATTCTTCGCCCGTTCAGCTGGAAAATCACGCTCAACACAATGGTCGAATAAGTTATCAATTTCAGATTACCTGGATTTCCGAGTTCACAAGTGAGTGTGACGTCACCGATCGACCAACTGTATGGATAAGAAGTTGCGTAGGCCAGTACCGGCAGCCATGTGCAAAGCAGGACCGCAAAGGCCCGCATGCAAAGTAATCCAGTAAGTCTGAATTCAATCCAAGGGGATAGCAGTTTATGCTAATTATTTTTCTCGAGTACGTCAAACATTCAACTCGATTTGGGATTGTAGAAATGATGAGATGCGTCTAGAGTTTTTACGATGGTGCTTTACTGTTTCCTAAGTCTTGACATTGCACACCTTCATACCGAATCTGAACAGTGGCAAAGACCATTAAAATTCAAAAAATAGTTAGCAAAAATAAGAACGATATTGATAGGAAATACATCTGCAGGTGAAAAGCCGACTTAACAGGAATATTGCTAAATCTAATACTCCCCTACCCGGTACTTATGTCATACATAACAGTACCAGGGCCAGCCGCACTCGTTAGATGTAGCTCTTATAGCTGTTGATTGGAGGCATTCTTCAAGGATAAGAAGAAAAGATGTAATAACTAGGGTTTATAGTCCAATTGGGATGCGCCATGCTTGTGTATTTCTTTGGTATTGCTTTCACAACAGATTAATTGATAATACAAACTAATTGAAGACAAGTCCAAGCATTGCGTGAATGGAGTTTGGGTAATGTTTACTTTGAGGTTTGCATCTAAAAGTTAAGAATTAAGCGGAATCCCGCCAAAAATGGTCGCAGAGAGGGGTGTAGGAGGAACTGCCTCAAGCCCATGTTAATATTGTATATTGCGAGCTTTCCTTTTCACAATAACGAAACCAGGATTGTATGAAATAGCAATAGCGCGAATTACTATTATTCTTACTATTACTTTAATTTATCAAGCAACATAACTTTAGGCAACGAATCACATACGGAAACAGTTGAGAGTAAATTTCATGATCGAAAGGTCACAATTCTCTGAAAACGGGAATCGTAGATGCATCAAGCAGAAGAATATGGGCATTATTTAAATGTATTTTTTAGCAAATTATATGACTATACATGTACAATGACTTGTATATGGAAGTTTTTTCTGAAGGAATTGGATGCACTGCTCAGCAATTTGGGCAAGCAGCATGCTTTTACAATGACTTTATCATTGATAAGAATAAATTATATCAAAAGGAAAGGAACAATGTGGAATCGCAGGAGCTGAGTAATCAGCAAAGCGTTCTGAAATGAAAAAAAAGCTTATCAGTTCTAATAGTCAGTTAGAGCTGGGAATGCTTCCTTAAATAAGCAGTAAGTGATTTTCGAATAGTATCCTTTTCCATCTATAGGTGATAATAAAGTGGTTTCAAGGGGACTGTCTAGAAAGCGAAGGCGGTTTGCTTCCCAGGAAAACCTCTTTTGCCCAAGTTCCCCTCGGTTTTCCTAGGATTCGTTCCCTAGTGAATGGTTGTGGTGCCGATGCCGTTAGTCACCACCTCATCTTAACTCAAAAAGTGGATTTTTAACAAAATTGTCGAGTTGCTGTAAGTCTTGAAACCATCTACGTCACGATCCACCCATTGCCGAAAAAGTGGGAATGATTCAGAGGGCTGTAATGGTGGTACGATAATAGGATCGTATGACAGTTCTGATTTTGAGTCTTCAAATTTCGATCTCAGAAGAAAATACCGGATCTTATAAGGTCACGCTTTGCCACGGTAATGGGCCTTATCAGTAGCTCAGCTGCAGCTGTTCGCCCCGCTACACTAGAAGAAAGCGATCGATGCTTGTCAGAGGGATCAATAAAAGGGGCTGTTTCGGGATAGTCGAATCTTTCTGTGAGCTTTGCAGGATGCCATGGGAAAGGGAAGTAATGAAGGATAAACGAGGAACAGGGAGGCTACTAGCTGTAGGTAGCTAGGCAGCTTCTTTCTAAGAATTCATTTATTGACTTTTTGACCGTTTTCGTTCTTGTAATTCCTTATCTGCTATTGAAATAGACGATATTAAAATTACTTTACTCGAAAAATTGGTAAAATCGGTCGTTTCAGTAATGTAAACAATAAAAGATAAAGAAGCAGTAGTTGGAAAAGCTGATATGAACATCTGAAGACGATTAACAGAGCACGAGAAATATTTATTGATTTCATATAGAAAGTATAATGGCTAACGGGTCAAAAGCGTCTAACAGTGACCGATACCCAAGTTCAATTCCAGGCTAAGCGAGACAGGAATAGGTCTGCCATTCTTAGTAATTCTTTCGATACTTACTACCTTTTAAGTAATGCTACTTTTGGGGCTTGAATTGAACTTGAAATCATAGACGAATGCCTAAATAAGGGTGTGTAATCCAGAATTTTGGGCCCTTTGTGCTTTTGCTCATTTCGGGTCTAAGTTCAGGTGACTACTGTAGCTGTTGTTTACTTCTGTCTATCATCATACTGTAAATTAACTTTACACCGCAACTCTACCTGTAAGGTCTCAACTATGTACATAGATCTAGATATGTAGCGTCTATCTGCTCGGGGTCTGTCTGTCTGTGTGTTATATCTGTATGTATCTGTATCTGTGTCTGTATGTATGTGCGTATGATGTATGTATGTATGTATGTATGTATGTATGTATGTATGTATGTATGTATGTATGTATGT